AGGGAAATTCAATCTGTCTTAGACACTCACCTCAGCATGGGCTGCACATCCCTCTGCCTGAATCCCATCAGAGAAAAGAGCCATAAGGCAAAGCACCCACTAGTTCATCCTCCTGCCTGAAACAGGATCAGCTTTACTTAGACCACATGGAAGAAGGCTAAGGCAGCTCTTGAGCTCTCTAAGAGCATCACCGCTACTTACTTTAAAATAACTCCATGCTAACTCCCTGCATCCTTGCCCATTGCATGCCACGGATCAGAGTGTGTTTTACAGGTGAAGCAGAAAGAGAATAATTGTACAGAAACACAGAAACTTTCTCTCTCACCTTCAAACTCTGTTTGGCAGTTGCCAGAGTTTTCATTTAAACTCTCCTCTTCATTGATAATGATGTTCTCGATGTCCTTCATCGTTAAGTGGTCCCGGAAGGCGTGGTAGAGGATGTGTTTCAGCTCTTCCAGTGTTATCCTCTGCATGTCAAACTGTGGGAAGAGGACTGAGTTAGATGCAGCCACCAGTTACAGGCATGGGACTCGGAGGAAGAGAGGCACGGGGGCAGGTCACAGTTCCCTATTCATGTGGTTTTTTCAATCTCATTTCAACACCTCAATATAACTTTGCAAATTTTGCTCTTTTGGGTTCATTTAGCACTAACAATGTGAAATGTTGCAAATGGATGTTGCTAGAGCTCTTGCCAGCTTACTTAATGCTGGTAGAGCAGTAGAGTAACACAACCCTGGATGATCTTCCAGGCTGGAGATGCAGCGAGCCGGTATCAGCCCTGCCCATCTCAACAGAGGTAAAACCCTGCGAGATTCCCCTGGTAGCTCTTACACCTTTCCATGAGCCACAACCTTGTCTCTGCCCTTTTTTTCCTTCTGACTCTCCAGTCGTGCCTGCGTGGTGAGCTCAAGCAAAGAGCATTTCCCTCTTAGATGACTTCTGCTGTAGATCCAGTAGGTAAATGTTGGTCTTACACACACCAGATACTAAAGCCACATTATTCCTGTAGAATATACAGAAACGAATGTTTTGCAGCAGAGGAACTTTGCACAAGTGTGAGATTTGTGGTGTTAATATCTACTAACAATACAGAAGAGAGGGCATTCACACTGGCTAACTTGCAGTGCCAGGTGAGGAGACGAGTCCCTCTGAGCCATCGGTGCAGTCAGTAAAGAAGGACGGAAACATCCTGAGTGCCCCCGAGTCCCTCCGTGTGCTGCAGATGATCACGCTCTGAACAGCACCTTGAACTCTCAGGCCTTTGAGCCCAAAACAGACTTGCTTCCAGCCAACAGCGAGCACCAGGACTTGTACACCCTCTTCTCAACTACCCACCGTCCAGAAACCTCAGAAAGGCCCCACGCCTCTGGCTTAGTGCTGCAGCAGAGGCAAGGCGAGGCGAGCTTGTGCCCGCTTCTGCAACCGGGAGTGCGGTGGTAGCGTGTGATCAGATTGCAAGAAGCGGCGCAGCAAGAACTTCCTGCTCCTTTCCCCCCAGCCTGATAAGGACAGGACAAACCTTATCGGCTCGGAGCTGCTCGGTGAGTTATCTAAAGTCGTCTTCCCTGACCACTGCCGCACACCTCATCGCTCCCACGCGAAATCATTAATCCCCGAAGTGGTTAACTGAGAAAATTAAGTGCACTTTGATTAAACCTGGGCCCTGACATATTTATGTGTATCTGTGTGTAGGCAGATCTGCACACATACATACATCTTTATCCATCTATCCTCAGAAGCACTGATTTCTACAATTCTATTTATTTACTTATTTGCTGCAACAATCAAAAACCTGGTGCAGAAAATCTGCAGAAAAGTGAACAGCAGGGGCAAGAGCCAAAGCTCCTGGTTTTGCCCCAGATGAGTTCTCTGAAAAGCAATTCTGGTGGGTTTGGTGGCTTTGCTGCTGTCCTTGTTCCTCAGGGATGCAACGCTCATGCTGCCTAGCTAAAAATAGCAAGCACGCAATTGTCACCAGTGGCTCCTTGTTGCACGGTTCAAAGCTGGATTGCAAATCCCCCCGGTATTTAGTCACAAATTTTCAGCCTGCTTTGTTGTGCATGAGGAAATCTCACCACCCGCTTTCTTTAATGTTAAAAGAGCAAGTAAAATTGAGCAGCCGTGTGCTTCGCAACCGGCATGATTACAAAAAGCGCTTCTCTTGGCAACAAGAGTTGTGGAAATGGGGGTTAATTCATATGATTTCCTTACAGCGGTGTTGGAGATGTTGTTAGCAGAGATTTACAGAGTGCCTTGAGGCTGCCCAGGGCATGTGGCCCTCCTGATTTGCTTCCTGCAGCGCTGATTGCACACCAGCGCCGTGGAGATACAAGCAGTGATTTCTCATCTACCATTTAATCCTGCATTCCTTTGGGATCTTTGTCTTGGGGATACTCAAACTTGGGGCTGTTCAACCTGGAGAAGAGAAGGCTCCAGGGAGATCTTATAGCAGCCTTCCAGTACCTAAAGGGGCTACAAGAAAGCTGGAGAGGGGCTTTTTGCAAGGACATGGAGTCACAGGACAAGGGGCCATGGCTTTTAACTGAAAGAGGGGAGATTTAGATTAGAAGATAAGGAAGAAATCCTTCACTGTGAGGGTGGTGAGGCACTGGCACAGGTTGCCCAGAAAAGTTGTGGCTGCCCTATCCCTGGAAGTGTTCAAGGCCAGGTTGGATGAGGCTTTGAGCACCCTGGTGTAATGGAAGGTGTTCCCGCCCATGACAGGGTGGTTGGAAATAGATGATCTTGAAAGTCCCTTCCAACCCAAACTGTTCTATGATTCTATGAACTTGAGCCCCAGTTTCTTCCTAAGTCCATATGCCAAACCCATAACTCCATCCTAAGTTCATCCTAGTGATCACATCAACAGGAGCAGCCTGTCTACATGTGGTGATCCCATCCCATCTCATCAGGGTGTGACGTTCAATCTGTGTTGGAATTTTCTCCCTGTTCTTCGTTCAGGGATAGTTCTCTGAGGCCCATACAAACTTTTTGCTGTAGTTTACAGGTTTTTGTTTTTCCCCCTTCAGTGAACAGTCTTTCTAGAAGCTGCCCAAAACCCGTGTTCATCCATCACCGGATGGGTGTTCAGCCTTGTGAGTGCTTCACGGCCCAGAGCACCGTGTGTTTGTGTGCATTTGAGGATATCTGCAGGGATGTGTGAGCTTCTCTAAAACTTGTTTAGTGGAAGTGCTCACAGACTGTACATGGGCAGGGTAGCTGAGGATGAGGGACCTCCGATATGGTGCATGCATCCTGTCCTTGTCGAGATTAAGACAACTGAATGCTTCAAGATCTGCCTCATTACATCTCAAGATGACTGTTGGAAGAACAACATCTCCGGATCAGCTCCCTGCTCCTTCTTGTCTGCCTCCAGAGCTACAGGTGTGAAAACTCACCTTGGGACACACCATTGCCTATGGTGACATATGCTGCTCCTTTTCTCTCACTCTTCGGAGTCTTTGCTGGTCTCCCTCTGTACCAGCATCGCCACTAAAAAGCTTTTGCAGTCTACTGTGATGACACCTGTTGAGTTGCTTCAAGCTACCTGGATTGCAAACACAACCATGGATATCTTCTAATCCTAACAATGTGGAAATTGTAATGACTTGTGGGTTTTTGGGTCTTCCTGCATCAGTTAATCTGTCTAGTGGGAAATAATTGTTCTCTTGACAAATATGCATCTGTTGCTGTGTCTCCAGCTCTTGCTTTTAAGCCTTACGCTAATAAAGGGAGAAATTATTTTTATTGTTCTGCTGTCATTTTGCCTTTTAGGAAGAGGAACTGTTTCAGTTGGGTTTCAAAATCACCCTTGTTGGCTCATATCCTGAGTGTTTGGCCTGTTGGCAAGCATATGGACATTGTTCCTGCTTTGTCCTACGCTCTGGTACTTGCATGCAGGACACGGGTCTTCCGTTTGATACATATCAGCACAAGAGTTTGTCCAGACTGGGCTGAAGCTTGGTGCAGCCAGAGACAATACTTCACACTGGGCTTGGGCTCCCAGGTAATTTCTTCTATTATCATTGCTCTCCAACCTGGCAGTTTCCCTGATTCACTTTTCAATTACTCTGGCTTTTTATTGTTGTAATGACAGTAACCAGGGAGCAACTCGTAACTTTTATTGGCTCCACTGAGAGGAAAGCTGTGGCTGCTGCAAGCTGAAAACTTTCTATAGGATTTATAATTAGAAGAAATCAATGATGCTGCTCCTGAACTGGTGCTCCTGGAATACACTTTAAGCAGTGATACAGAAACAAACTGTGCCTAATGCTGAGGTTCAAATGCCCCAAGCGATGCAGCGAGTGCCCTGAATAAAACCTGCACTTGTACAGCTGTGTTTGGCTTCTATGGAGAACACCAGGAATTGTCCACTGCAGTTCTGATGGGCCTCAGTAACTGTCTCTAGCAGAGACAGCTCTTGTAGTTGGAGGATTGTGTCCCAGGAGACATCTGGAAGAGAAAGTGGACCTGATCCAACCCAGCCTGTAGCTTCCTGACTCCTCCTTGATTTAAATTTCCTGCTTGGAATGGAAGCAGAGTCCTTACCAGTTCCTTCAGTCTCCATAGCCCCAGATTTCAAAGTCTGAAGCTGACTGACAGCTGCCATGCCTGCAGAGCACTGGTTTCACTACTGACACCTTCAGCAGAGACTTCTGTTCATTACAACTTGGCACACTTTCCTTCCATTCTATGCGGGGAAACGACTTTATGAGAGGAGCTTCCTTCTCTGAAGAGTTAAATGCTGAAATATTACTTATGATAATTTCTTTTAATATTAACTCTGCTTTTAAAAAATGAGTGGAAAGCTACTCTCTTGAATCCCAAGTTGGCCTCACTGCCATGCAGATGGGGCGATGCTAGGCTGGGACCCTGCAGCAATGTGAGCAGGACTGTTCTGCTGACCTGCAAGATCTATTGAAGCCGTACCAATTAAAATATTCTTCTCAGAAAGAGGTGGGACTGGTCCTCTGGCAGTGATGGTTTTAGCTAGAAAAGCACTTCGATACTTATTTTTCCTGAGCCTATTGGGCACATTTCCCATGTAAGCCATCTGAAAAGGTCCTCTTGGGCTGCTGAGGGCTCCAAATGATCCTTGTGCCTACTGATGTGCTATCCCATATTGGGATGAGACACTGAGATAGCAGCAGGAGAGCAGGCTCTTACCTGGTGCTTTTGAAAACCAGATCCACAAAAGCAAAAGCTTCATAGAATTATTTACGTTGGAAAAGATCCTTAAGATCATTGAGTCCAACCATTGACCTAACACTGCCAATTCCACCACTAAACTATGTCCCTATGCCAATTCCACCACTAAACTATGTCCCTAAGCACCACATTTCATAGATTTCTTGTTTGGGGTAGCCTTTGATAATCTCTGAATAATGAGACCACACCTTTGTTTTGCTCTCAGACCTATCGCATGTCAGGCCACGAGTGTCCTGAATACCTACAGGGCAAATGAAAACTGGCTCTGCCC